CATCAGCAGGGAACTGGATCAGAAGTAGTTTGCTGGGACCTGAACTAGCACCCATATGGGATGCCAGTGCTGTAGGTAGAGAATTTAGAAATGTATACCGCTGTATTAGCCCCGGAAGCACATTTAAAATTTTGTGAAATTTAATTTATCTCTCTCTCTCATGTGTGTGCATGGTTTGATGTCATACCTAAGAAATCATTGCCTACCCCAAGTCCACAAAGATTTATACCTACAGTTCTCTTCTATGTTTATTAAAGTATACACTCTAACAGTTAGGGTCGTGCCATAGCAGGTAAAGCTGTTGCCTGTGATCCCAGCATCTTATATTATTTCATGGGCGAGATTTGGATGAAGCTCCTTGGCTCTTGGTTTTAGGCTAGCTCAGTTCTGGCCATTATGGTCATGTGGGGAGTGAACCAGTGGGTAGATCTGTCTTCCTACCTCTCCCTCTCTCTATGTGACTCTTTCAAAAGAATAATAATAATAATAATAATAATGATGATGATGTCCTTGACCCATGTGGAGCCAGTGTAAATCTGTTGTGAGGTAGGCTCCAACTTTATTCTTCTGAATATGAATGGAAATTCCCTTGTTGCTGGGGCATTTGTTGGAAATCAGTGCAGTTCCAGCTATATGTTCATTTCTGGGCTCTCAATTCTACTTCATTGATCAGTTCTGAGAGGAGAAACAAAACAAAGCAAAGCAAAGCAAACTGGCTAGGATCTTGGCTATTCTTAAGTATGTGTTGAATCTGCAGGTCAACCTGTGTAGTATTTGGACTATGTCAGAGATTTTCAGGACTGTAGGGAGCCTGTGGAGTAAGAAGGGGCCTGCAAGCGAACACCATGATGAGTCACCCCTCAGAAGGGACCGCTGGTACATCCCTGTGTGGCATGGAGCTCTCAGCCAGGCTGTAGGGCCTGGTCCATGCTTCAGCCTGGCTCAGCCTTTGATTATCTTCCCCAAGACTTGATCCCTATAACATTGTCCAAGTAACCAGTCTGGGGATCTCAACCAGTCATAAACCCCCGAAGGTCTGGTCAATATTAACTTGGGAACCAATCCAATGACAACAGCTCTCCCTTCCCACCTCCTAAAGAGCATGCGTGTGCACACTCAAGCACATAGGCACACACCGTCATGCCCAGCTGCCTTGAATTCACCCCACCTTGGACCACACTCATCTGCAATTCCACATCTTTGTGTCTCTGGGGCGAATCTTATGTGCCCTGCAAACCCCTGCTCATCCCTTAAGGCTCAGCCAATGCCTCCTCACTCTAGGCTGCCCTATTGCTCTCCCCCGCGCACACCACTGCAGCAGACCAAGCTTGTGATGTCTTTCCTGTCTGCAGCATGAATTCCCAAGCGCAAGGCTCTGTCCTGCTCTGCCAGAGTCCAGCTCCAGCTGAGTTTGGAACTCGCGAAGGGTGCATGGATGAGGCGTAAAGAAGAAAGAAAGAGACGGACCACTAGGACTTCATGATCATAATGGACGATGCACAAAAGCTGTCCACTTTATTTATACAAAATCAGTCAAACTCTGGCTCAGACTTTTTACGTCATGGTCAAGTGGGTGTTTCTAAAGATAACTCTGCCATAGTATTACCTAGAAGTTCCTGCTGCCAGTACCTAGAAGTTCCTGCTACAATTCTTATCCTACAATTCAATCTTGTATCACAAAGAAAAGGAGAACTTAAAGATCAAGGAAAGAATGAAAGCCTAAATACAGGTCCCTTGATTAGCATAGGTTCAATGGGGACAGCCAAGACAGTAGGAATGATAAAGGGCCCTTTTTGCAAGATATTGACCTGCAAGCTCAGGCTGAGCAAAAGGTTAACCTTGCAGTAGCAAATGCCAGGATGGATTAGAATTCTTCCACTGGGTGGTCTGGTGTCCATGCAAAAGAAGGTGGAGCTGCATTCAGGTGGTTGTAGAGACATCGGCCAGGCGGGCCCTGCCAAACAGCGGGAAATTCCTTGCGGCCCTGCCTGCAATGGAACACTCTTCACCCCCTCATGTCCCCCACATCTACTGCACGGACCCCAACACTGCTCCCACAGAAAGACTGGGGCATGAGGAGCTGGGTTCACACCCCAAGCTCTCCAGACATAATCCATGTGACCTTGAATGAGTCATTTACCTTTGTTGTACCTCAGTTGCCTGATTTGTAAAATGAGAACAGTGATACTTGCCTTGTAACTTTTTGGTAAGATTTAGGAAATAAAGCAAATAATCCCCAAGTGCTTGGTCCAGAGTTGAGTCCTATAAATGTGTTGCGATCTTCAGCACTGTCATCATTATGATTTTTTTTTAAAGATTTATTTTATTTTTATTAGAAAGGCGGATATACAGAGAGGAAGATCTTCCGTTTGATGATTCCCTCTCCAGGCGGCCACAACAGCTGAAGCTGAGCCAATCCGAAGCCAGGAATCTCTTCCGGGTCTCCCACGTGGGTGCAGGGTCCCAAGGCTTTGGGCCATCCTCAACTGCTTTTCCAGGCCACAGGCAGAGAGCTGGATGGGAAGCGGGGCTGCCGGGATTAGAACCGGCGCCCATATGGGATCCTGGGCGTGCAAGGCGAGGACCTTAACCACTGCACCATCGTGCTGGGCCCCATCATTATGATTTGATCCTCAAGGTCTGCCATAAAGGAGGAGTTTACCAAGTGAATGATACCTGCGCCAAAGACATCCTACAGTGCCAGCCAATTTTACCTGGGCAGACAATTGCCTGAGGGAAGAGGGTTTTGCTTCCTGACCAGCCAGGGGTGGAGAGGAAGCTGTATTCAAGGAGGAAGCGATTTATTTGGGCAGCCATTGCTGCTCAGGGAACAGTGTGGAAGGTGTGAGCAGAGCCTGTCAGCATGGCCCCCCATGGTCACATCTCAGTGGGAGCATCTGCATGAGGGCCCAGAGCCTTTGCTCATTGTGGTAGAATGGGAAGGCTGGGAAGATATCCCTCCCTTTTGTCCCCAGGCCCCTGCTAAGCAATGTAATGCTAAAAGGGGCCACCATATATTCCTTGGCAGCTGCAAGTCCCACCTCAACTTGCTCTCTGCTCTTCCCCTTCTGTCTAAGCTACTTCCAATCTAAGTTGTCTCTTGCCCTCCTTCCAGAGAGGGTACATCCAGGGAGCAGTGCCCACCAGGCTACCTGGGCTGTAGGGCTGAACTAGACCTCCATTGGGGCCAGGAATCAATGGCATGGTCAAAGTGTTTTCTGCAGTTGGAATTCTAGGGGGAGACCAACAGATCAAAGAGAAAACATAGAGTATACAGAGCCCACCAGAGAGGACCAAGCTGGGCAGGGGAGTGGGGTGATGAGGAGTGAGAGAGGGGACCCTCTAGGGAGGCTGTGACTATTTGACTCTGGCAGAGTGGGATGTGACCTGTTTTAGGTATAAGCGAGAAAACACTGGGAGGAGGAAATAGGCAGGACTGGGTCCAGAGGATGGATGGGGCAGGCCAACTCTTAGGCCAGGTTTGTCCTGAGTGTAACCTTTGCTGATGGAGTGAGGGGTAAGGGGAGAGGGGCAGGAAGTCAAGGACAATACCAAGGATTTGACCCTGGGTCTTGTAATGTGGCTAAAGTCCTTACCTTGCACATACTGAGATCCCACATGGGTTTCGGTTCTAATCCCAGCAGCCCTGCTTCCCCTCCAGCTCCCTGCTTGTGGCCTGGGAAAGCAGTCGAAGATGGCCCAAGGTCTTGGGACCGTGCATCCATGTGGGAGACCCAGAAGAAGCTACTGGTTCCTGGCTTTGGATAGGCGCAGCCTATTGTAATCACCTGGGGAGTGAATCAGCGGATGGAAGATCTTCCTCTCTGTCTCTCCTCCTCTCTGTATATCTGATTTTCCAATAAAAATAAATTAAACTTAAAAAAAAATGACAAGACATTTGCACAGACTCAAAATGTCTGCCACCACATGGATTACAATGGGAAAGCACACAGGTAGATGACCAAAGGGCTGCAGCTGACATGGGATGTCTGCCCCTCTCCTGCTGTGCCCAGAAACCGGTCCAGCACAGTGCCAACCTTGTCAGAAGTGGAGCGCGTGCACCTGTGCATCAGTCTGAAGGCACTCAGGAGACCTGTCCACCAAATTCAACTGCAGCCCCCCCAGACCACCACCACACAAAGGACAGTGGACCAGGAGGAACAGTGGCAATGCCCTGTGTGATCCTGGCTTTAGGTAGCCTGTAGCAAATGTCTTGAGCAGCAGGAGTGGTATTGCCTGGGAACATAATTAGGCGCTGTGTGTGTGCACCAGGTAAGAAATCCAAACGTAGGAAATAAGAGTTGCTTACAGGTTCCAGGAGGGAGCTGGGCAACTCCCAGGCTTTGCCTTGGGCACTGTGGGTTGTCTAAAGGAGACTCAGGGAAGGATGCCTTAGCCGACCTCATCAGCAGTGTGTTGTGTTGGTTTTGGAGTCAGTGGGATGAAGTGCAGATAGGTGTTATCCTAAACCACGTCGGGGTCAAGGGCGGTTATCGAGGCCCAAGGAGACGGATACCCCGGTTCCAAGCCTAAAATGGACGCAGCTGAAGCAACTCTTATCAAGCACATTGCCACGACGCCGTGTCTGTGCACTTTATTTCCATGAATACATTCTGAAGGACTAAGGCGTCTTCTTGCGCGAGGAAGCAGGGCCTGGGTCAAGCTTAGATCTTGACCTTCCCGCGAACCCAAGGCACGTGTGTGCCAACGTCTCCACCTACACATACCCGGCTCGTGGCGCTCCGTCCGCGGCACCGGGACGAATCTTGTCACCGAATCCTGTCACCGATTGTGATGGCGCCGCCGAGGACCAATCCACGACCGGCGCTGCACGCGCAGAAGGCGCGGAAGGCACGACAGGCCCTGCTGGCGAGGCGCGGCGGGACTACAGTCCCCATAAGCGCTAGGGCGGGGAGCGCGGGCCAATCAAGGCCGAGGTCGGGCGCGCGCTGGGAACCACGGGTAGTGTAGGCCCTCGGACTACAGTCCCCGGCGTGCCCCGCGCGGGGAGGGGCGGTGGCGGCGCGGGCGGCCGTCGGGGCTGGGCGGCGGCGCGGCGGCGGTGGCGGCGGAGAAGGGTCCGGCCTGCGGCGGCCTCCGGGGAGCCGGCCCGACGCGCGGCCACCATGTCGGCGCCGTCGGAGGAGGAGGAGTACGCGCGGTTGGTGATGGAGGCGCAACCCGAGTGGCTGCGCGCGGAGCTGAAGCGGCTGTCTCATGAGCTGGCCGAGACCACGCGTGAGAAGATCCAGGCGGCCGAGTACGGGCTGGCGGTGCTGGAGGAGAAGCACCAGCTCAAGCTGCAGTTCGAGGAGCTCGAGGTGGACTATGAGGCTATCCGTAGCGAGATGGAGCAGCTCAAAGAAGTGAGTCGCCGCCCCGCGACCTGCAGCCTGGTGGCGCGGGCCTGAGCCTGCACACTGCAGGCGGCGTCCGGGGATGGGGCCGGCCGAGGTCGCCCAGCCCGCCCGGCCTTGGGGGGTGCGGAGGGTCGGGCGGGGCCCGGGCGGGGCGGCCTCGGGATTCGGTCTTGCCGGGGGTCTCTGGCTGCGGGGAGGAGGGAGTAGCTTTAGCGGTTAGGGGCGCAGGTGACCCGCCGGGAGGTGCCTGGCCCGGGTGTCCCCTGCTGTCACTCTCCGGATCCCCCACGCGGGTGCAAGGTCCCAAGGCTTTGGGCCGTCCTTGACCGCTTTCCCAGGCCACACGCAGGGAGCTGCTTGGCCCCGCCAGTGGGGCGACGCCTGGGAGTTGGGGTGCGGGGTCTTCAGGCCCTCTCCGCTGGGATGTGTGACTTCCCGTGCCTCTGTCTTCTCCTCCCGATTCCTCCCTGCTGTGACGTCTGCAGGGACACTTGGGCGACTGTCATCTGTCTGTGGGGAGAGAGCCTTCTGAGGGCCCGGGGGGCGACGTAGTGGCTGTGAGGGTCCTGGGAAATCATCCTGTCAGAATTTGAGTGTTTCTTTTGTGCGGCGAGTGACTGCCAGCCTTGTAGTGGAGGTTGGAGGGAGAGGTTGTTCCCGGGTGATGCTGTGCCATGCTGGGGATGTGGCTGTGGGTCGGAACCCTCTTGTGAGGGCAAAATGGAGGAGCAGTGTTGTGTTTTGAAAAAGGCTGCTGTGCTTGGAAAGGCCTGGTCTAGCGGGTATCTCTGACAGGTGCCCTGTCCCCTCCTGTCTGTGCTAATAAGCTCTTGGCTCACGTCCAGGTGCCTCTGCTCCCAGCCAGCCTCTGTAGGGTCCTGCACCCTTTGGAGCCTCCGTGGCCTCCTGTGGAGAGGAGAGAGTGAGTTAACCCACAAGGATGTTTGTCCCCTGGCCAGAGCAGGCTGCTCAGTATGCGGTGGGTCCGGAGCATCACCCGCAGGTGGGGCATGGGTGTCCTCTGCCGGCCAGACCCTGCTGTACTGGATCCAGGTGTGGCTTTCCAGCAAGGGGAGGGCTGTGAGGTAAGGGGGTGGGAATGCCCTGCAGCGATTCTGCTCTCCTGTGGTGAGGCGCGCCCACTCTGCCAGCTGCAGTCCTTCCCTCCCTCCAGGCAGGCAGCTCTGTTCTCTGTGCAACAAGCGAGCCAGCCCTCCCCGTGGAGTGTGTGGGGAGCTCCTCCCCGGGCAGCCCCCACAATCCCTGTCTATGTGCAGTGTTTCTCTGGCAGCGTCCACTGTAATAAGGGACTGTCACTGACCTAACTGGTCTCCACTGTGGGGCCTTTCAGTAACCAGCTCTTTGCTGATAGGGACACATTCTGGTACCATGAGAAATCTTGGCTCAGTTACCCAGCATGCATCTTGTGAGTTCCTGGCACAGTCGGGAGGAGGGTGGAACTGCAGCTGCAGGTACTTTTGGGCAGCTGCTCCGCCCGTTCAGTCACCTCCCAGCTGCCTGTGTCCTCGCAGTGTGGTTTTACACAGATTGCCCTCTCGCCTCTGTAAGGTGGGATGAGATTTCTGCTGGAGTAAGCAGGTGGTAGAAAGCATGCCTCAGATCCAGGAGGGGATCCTGGAAAGTTTGCATCAGTCCCTCTCACCCCGCAGTGGGCCTGGTCCTCACTCGGGCCAGCACAGGCTCTTGTTAACCTGTTCAGTTATGGCCAGTATCATCGCTGAAAATACCGTGTCTTATGTCACATCCCAAGATTTGTGCTAGTGTTTGTGGTGTTTGTGGGGGGTGTTCTCCCACAGATGAATTCTTTCAAAGGTTATTTCTCCAACAAAGTGGGTTTAATTACTAGCAATTATGCTGCAAATGGCATTGCTTATGTTCCCTGGCGTTGATAGATGGTGCAGTCTCTGAGAGACGGAAGCTGGCACCACATGAGTGGGTGGAAGAGAATCCTCTGTAAGGTTGAGCGGGGTCGGGGCTGGCTTGCTGCCTTCCTCGCTCAGTCTATGCCTTGGTGACGCTGTGGCCTGGGTTTTGGTTGAGCGTTGGGGTGTGGAGGATCCCCAGTGGTTTGTTTTCTTTTGTTCTTTTGAGCCTCGGTCGGTGAGGGCTGCATCTGTCCCAGGTCCTACTGGACCCTCTCGCTGTCACGGTGGGGAAGAAGCCTAGTCAGACTTGGCTCAGGCATGTGCTTTTCCTGGTGCTGCGTGGCTGTGTGGGGCATCCAAAGAGACAGGTGGGTTGGGGTGGCACAGCAGGTCCTGTGGGTAACTCGAGGGCTTTGGGAGAAGGGGCGCTCAGTCGCACAGCTTGTAAAAGCCTGATATTGGGTGGAAGCTAAGACCTGAATCCCCGAGGCATAGAATAGACCTTGTTTCCAGGGTCCTGTAGTCTCAGAGAAGGTTACGGCCCTGTGTTTGCTCATGTCACTAACTGCTAGAGTGTGGGTTAGGGGTCCTGAGGGAGCTTTAAGAGCCCTTCTTGAAAAACGTCTGAAACTCCCAGTTTGAGTCATGGTGCTTTTCCTCCTGTAAGGCACACCTGCGGCTCTCAACAGTTGTGGGATCTGGCGTGGAGTCTGCCAGCTCTGGACATGCAGTAACTCCTCCAGCTAGTCTTGGCAGCATGAGGAGGCGTGGCCCTGGCCACCTTCCACTGGACAGGCGGCTGGCACAGCTGCAGTGGATACCAGGCGTGCTTGAGGCTTAGCAGGTGGGGCCAGAGGGAGGCCTGAACCCAAGGCTGGCAGTCTGTAGGCCCAGGGGATGCCAGCACCATCAGGCAAGAGAGGAGTGGCCTGCCTGTGATGTAGTTCCATGGTTTTCATACTCTGAGTCGGAGTGATTTGGACCCTGCACAGAGCCACTTGCCTGTCTGGGCCAAAATGATTAATGCCTGGTTAATAATGGTGCCTGTCGCCCCATCAGTTTTCCGTAAGCCTCAGGTAGTCACTGTCCTCCCCCTTGGATCTGAGCTTGTGGCCCTGAAAGAGCCGTAGCCCAGGTCTGCGTGAGGTTCCTGCCGAGCCTCCTTGTCGTTCAGGGACCTCAACTCCTTGCTTTGAGAGCAGAGTCAGTCTTGTCTTCGTCATTTTGGAGTGCCTTCCCCATGTTTGGATGAAGACCTGACTTTTTAGTTGATATGTGGGGTGCCTGAAGTGGCATAGAGACTGGTGAGCAGTGATTGTCCAGCACCATATAAGGCTGTGGTGGGTGGGTCATTGGCCCTTGCTGTTGTAGTGTCCAGTGCTGAGTGTGTGGCCCCTAGAGCTGACCCCCTGGGACAGGTGTGCTCAGTGTGCGGCTGCTTTCTCGGGATCCAATCCTGCTGTTCCTGGCCAGCCTCACCACGCCATGGGAGCAGTGAAGGTGGCTGAAGACGGGGCAGGATTGCCTTTGCCGCTTTCAGCAGTGCTGGACTTCCAGGTTCAGGGGCACTGAGGGCTGGCTGCTTTTTGAGAAGTGACTGAAGATTGCATGGGAGCTGAGACCTCACTTCCTGCCGACTCTTGCTGCTGTGTAGGACACAGATGCCATGCAGTGGGCATGCGTAGTGCGTGGAGCTTGACCCTTTGAGTCACAGCAAGGCGCGCTGGTTTTCATGCATCCGAAGGTGTTGTGATGCTCCTGTAGTGTTGTGCATCGGAAGCAGTCACAATGGTTTGCTGTGTATGGATTTTCCCTTTTAAATGCAGATTTTTGCATGGCTTCTCTACTAGGCTTAACACTTTTTAAAAAGCTACCTTCATTAGAAGTTTAACCAAAGTGGAAGTGAGAACAGGGAGATGCCTGTGCCCACGTCAGCCTGGCCTTCTGGTTACTCTCCCTCAGTTCATCTTATATGACTACTTATCTAGGTATGTCAGTTGTTCTGTTGAGAAAATAAGGCACTTAAAAAAATTTTTTTTAAAGTTTATTTTTATTGGAAAGGCAGATTTATAGAGAAGAGATACAGAGAGAAAGATCTTCCCTCAGTTAATTCACGCCCCAAGTGGCTGCAACAGCCAGAGCTGAGCCTGTCTGAAGCCAGAAACTTCTTGTAGGTCTCTTACGTGGGTGCAGGGTCCCAAGGCTTTGGACCATCCTCGACTGCTTTCCCAGGCCACAAGCAGGGAGCTGTATGGAAATAGAGCAGTTGGGACACGAACCAGCATCCTTATGGGATGCCAGGGCTTGCAAGGCAAGGATTTAACCACTACCCCACCGTGCCGGACTCTTAAAAATGTTTTTTTTTTTTTTGTTATTGTTTATTTGAAAGAGTAACCTAGATAAGGAGAGCAAGAAAAAAAGATTATCCGTCTGCTGGTTCACCCAAGTAGCTGCAGTGTTCCAGGATGGGCCAGGCCAAAGCTGGGAGCCCAGAATTCCTTCCAGGTCAGCCACATGGTGACAGGGGCCCAGATACATCATCCGCTGCTTCCAGGCTTGTTAGCAGAGAGCTGGGTTGAAAGGAGAGGAGCCAGGAGTTCATCACTCTGATGTCTCAAGTAGCAGGTTAACCTGAGCTGGCCCTTTTTTTTTTTTTTTTAACATAACCACAGTTTTGAATTTTTACCTCTGAAAACCTGTTAATAATTCTTTAATGTCGTCTGTTGTCCATGTGGTGTATGAATTTCCCCCAAAACTGCATTTGGTTTGAAGTTGCAGTTTTCATAGCAGCAGCTAACTGCATGATGCATTTGGTTGGAGAGTCATGCTTGGCTCATCCTAGGCCGCTTGTCCATCCCTGTGCAGGTACAGCCAGCAGTGATTGGCTGAGATTCCCTCTTGAGCTGCTTCTCCAGGCATACAGCTCTTGTCTTTTTTTTTTTTTTTTTCTTTTTTTCCTCTTCGGGTTTAGAAAACTGATTAGCTAGCTTTTGTACTGCTGCATTGTTGTTATCTGTTCCAGGTCATTCCCCTTACCTGTCCCCCCTGGGGATAATGCATCTCAAGTAGCAGGGCGCATTCTGTCAGTTGAGATAACCAGTGCTTTAACCCGTGAGGCAG